TCTGCCTTTTGTGAAACAGGATACACTGTTAGAACACACACACAGAAGCTGGATCTTTATGGGAATCATTAAATATATTAACCCATTTTTCAATCAAGTTATTTCTACAATAAGTCCTGTATAGGTGGGGAAAAGGTGTTCTACAAAATAACTTTTCTTCTTTTATTATTACTCTTATAATATAAAGTTCAAATACAATTTAAGTTTCTTTTAGGAGATATAAGAAATTATTGAAATACATGTACAAATCATTGAAGTACCTGTATAGTCAATCAATAAGGGTGTTAAATTCTATCTTCTTTTTACTTTTCTGAAGTACAGGGGGGGGAGGCTAGCTACGTATACTAAGTAATATATATAGAGGCAAATTCATTAAAAATGATAACTAAATAATTGGGAATTTACCCATGTCCTAACAAAACATGTATTTCATCTAAAATTTGGGACCCACTTCAAAAAAAACTGAAGGTCAGACGCCAATATCAAAACTGAAGGTCATAAAGTGTTGTGAAATATGCTGTACTCATCATGGCATATAGCTTGTGAAGTTGAAGTTAAATGTCACTAGCTGCAGAACTTGGTCCAAAACTGAGCTAAATGCTTTTAATACGAAGGTCAGAAAGTCAGGGTCAAAGTTGCTTGTGTTGGTCAAAAAAATGAATTCAAATATGTTTCACTAATCAATGCAAGGCACATAAGTATGTGAAAGAACAGATACATGTAGCTTCAGTAATTAGCCAATAACTTACTGAAATGTTAGAAACTTAACTGGCCGGACATATAAGGATAAGGTAACAATTCATACCCTGAACAATTTTTGGTGGAGAATAAAAACATTGCTCTCACTGATGGGGATTATTGAGACTGAAAATTTGAGCAGAAAACACTTAGAAATAATACGGTACACATTGCATGTGTGATGCATACTAAATTATTAATAGCAAATTGAGTTTTTGAAATCCTAGGTGTGTTTGCAATTGTCGCTACCACATGACCGATAATTGATATCCGTGTTGCTAGACATATCAACCCTAGGCGGTTCCCATTACAGCGGAATATTGATTTAAAGTTCTAGTATCAGTAATGTGCTTTGTGACAGTACTATTATTGTTACAAGAATATATGCAGATTGTATGGAACTACTTCATATATACCACTGTAACAAGAAAGAGAATAGTGTGCTTCCACCGGGGATCGAACCTGCGACCTCTAGGTTCCTATATAGCCGGATGCTCTACCACGTGCACTAAGCTAAAGGGAAATTCCCTCTAGCTAAAAGCTAGAAGCCGAACGTAATCCTATGTACAATTAAAATCTACCACCAAGGTTCGAAATTAGCATAAGCTAATACGCAAAATACGTTAATACTTGACACTTTAGCGTTTTGAATATGGTTAAAGGGCGAAAATATTTGCTTCCTCAAATAAATTTACTGAACTACTGAATATTGTGTCCAGCCCCCCCCCCCCTTCCCGTTCAAAGTCCATTGAAAATAAGAAGGGGATTTCCAAATTTGAGTTAAGCGCTATTTTGATTGGCTAACATATATAGTTGGAGTCGCGCATGCGTCATGATCAATGTCAAGGTCGCACAAACCGCAAGTTAACAGATGCCTTGCTCCTGGCAGACTAGACTACCCATCGAATCGGGCATCAATGTCATGTTGGCCTAAAATCACTAACTTTTTCCAAACGGAAATCGGCAACAGAGAATGAATCAGACAGGCCTATCCGCCCTGATGTTACCAAAAGTGAGGATGGTACGTCAGAAACCCCCCCCCAAAAAAATCAAAACATCGGAGCAAGAAATCATATGTCAGCTAAAAACTTTGAAAAGTAAATTTGCAGTATCTTACGCTTCAAATGAATATTTTCTTGTCAGCATAATAACATTTTTGAATGACCTTTAGAATTTATATGACAAAAAGTATTTCTATAGTGTGAATCTATTCCTATAGTCCAAAATAGAATGCATAGTCGTCGCACTCACCATTTTTTTAAAACGTAATCAAAACACTGACATTTGAGTTTTAATTACGTTTTCTTGTGCTATTTGAACTTGAAAACTAATCATCTGTAGACATAAAATGGTGCATGGCTATATATTCTAAGACTACATCATTGTTATAACTGATTTGTTGACACATCTATTTATAAGTATTTTTGCAAAAAGTGATCCGATTTGGGTACTGCCATCTTACATTGGAAAAACAACAAAAAATAAAAATATTCATGACAAATTTTGTTTTGCTTGTTTAAATTTTGTTTTGCTTGTAACTTTCAAATCTACAAGCAAATTATTGGTTGAAGGTTCAAACATTAAGTTCAAACCTTGACCACACTAGTCTCCCCCCCCCCCCCCCTTTAAAATATGTTTGCCCTCGAACACGACAACCCACTACAGGGAGCACCATGTGCACGGACACCATTTGCAGAGTTCTCCAGAAGCCCTGGCGGCCGGCGATATTGCCTACTACTCGGGAAATGCGCACCGGCTACTTTCACAAATAATACAAAAAATATTTTCATTGAAATGCTTGGTCATCGTCATGTTCTTGCTTGTCATCCCGAGGACAGCATAGTGTATTCGACCATTTTTCAATGTTTCATGAAGTCATCTGAAAATTATACGGCATGATATATGGCAAATCATACATCGAATTAAAGAAAAAATATGTTCGTGTCCAATGCAGACTAGAAGGCGACCATAATCATATGTACAATCAAAATCTGCCACACCACATAGCAATCTGACATTCAGTATAAAGGTCAGTCCAAAAACGACTTCAACAGTATTATACTGGTCATGACTAAACAGGAAAATGTTGGATGACCTTGACTCTGAATAGGATTCCACTGTTATTACTGTAGAGATATTGCATAAAACCTGTCAAGAGCAGGATATATCGGTGAATCATGTTGACTCAATCTCTGAATGGTCAAAGCGATGGCAGATCCTATTCAATCCAAATAAGACTGTAGCTATTAACTTCTCTCGTAGACACATTAACAATCATCCTCAACTGCTATTTAACAATACTCCAATTGCACAACATGAACACCATACTCACTTAGGACTAACATTTAACAGTAAAGGGATATGGTCAGATCACATTTCAAATATTTATAAGAAAGCGAACTCTAGACTAAGTATTGTTAGAATTTTAAAAACTACAGTTGATAGGAATACATTAAAAACATTATATGTCTCTTATATAAGACCTGTGCTAGAATATTCTGATATAGTATGGGATAATTGTACCAAATCTGAATCAGATCTTTTAGAATCAGTTCAACTAGAAGATATGCGTTTAATTACTGGCCTCAGACAAGGTAAATCTCATCACATTCTGTATACTGAAACACAACTTGAAACATTACACACATGAAGACAAAATCATAAACTAACATTAATGTATAAGATTCTTAATAATTACACTCCAACTTATCTCGATAATATCATTCAACCATTTCTAAATGTAAATAATAACTATACCTTCAGAAATAACAGATTCTTTAATATACCACAGACAAGAACTACTACTTATATGAATAGCTTCTTCCCTTCTACAATGGTAAAATGGAATGCACTTGATAGCACTGTACGAGACTCCATCTCAATTTCATCTTTTAAAAAGAAACTTAAAAAAACCTTTGATACATCCGTCTCAGAAACTTTTATTAACTGTGTTCCGAGGAAACTTAACATAATTTTATGTCAGCTAAGAAATTTTAAAAGTGATCTTAACTGTGATAAGTTACAAGACCATCTGATTGATGATGCTTCCTGTGTATGTGGTGTACAGAGGGAAGATCTAATACATTTTTTCTTTCAATGTCCTCTGTATTCTAATATTAGGCATCATATTACCACTATTTATAATCTAGTAGGATATTTAAATCTGCACTGTTTAGTATATGGTATTAGTAATGCATCCGACCAATTAAATAAAACTATTCTTATACATGTTGACTCTTATATTAAATCATCAAAACGTTTCGTTACTTATATGTGCTAGATAAATTCCAAATGAATATTCATGTATTGTTATTATTATTATTATTATTCAGGCAAGTTTTATCCCTTAAATAACGAGTATTAGACATAAGCTGGTGTGGGTGTGCATGAGTGTGAGAGGAAAATGAATCACAACATTTTATATATTTAAGCATTGTACATAGCTACCGGAAATAGAAGAAGACTGATATAGGCAAAGCCTGTTAATTGTCTTATTCTTTTGTCAATACTGTTCTAATATCTTCTTTAATGTTAACTTATATGTTTGTATTATATATGTATTGTCAATAAAATACTTTTGAAATTGAAAAGTGAATCATGTTTTCTCAAAAATCCCTTCAAACCCAATTTATAGTTGGCATGGCAATGTTTTTACTTTCAATTACAAGTTGCTTACATTGACCACAGGTGCTTGTATACATATTTCTTATATATTTGTAACAAGTCCTGGTGTTTTTATGCAATAATCAGACCTTTTCCCTGATCTAGATCACATATCAAAAATTTAAGTTTAAAAATGATGGCTATTATATTTCATTAATCATTAATGCAGTCTCTACATATATACATTATACGACGATTATTTAAGCTATGTGCAGGTTTAAGAAAAAATTATACGTCAACAATATGTCACATCTGATAAAGCAATACCTTCGGGCAACGACAGGGAACAAAGTTGTCAAGTATCCTCTGCATCGGAAGTAGTGTATACACAATAATATGTATCGGTCAACTTTCACAAGCAATTTTTCTTAACTATGACAGTAGGATAGCAATGCATTATTGCTAACGAAGAAACATTAGACAATCTTCAAGACGAGACATTCCATAATGTCATGTCAACATGACTAACGATCGCGATGTGCGTACATGTACAACAGCGAAACCGGTGCCCTGTTCACTGTTAGATCGATTTTATATTGGACACACCACTTGCCGACATATATAAACATGTGATCAAGCAAATAAACCCGACGACTTACCAAAACAGCATATACAAGAGAATGGAAAACAGACATTGCTCCTTTCCGCAGATTCATTTTCTGTGATAAACAGTGACTACTTATGTTGTAGTCTTGCCGTCTATGTCAGCTCAGTACTTTCCGTCTGGCACTACGCCGGATGTCAAATATGGCTGCCGTGTGAGTGCGTGTAATCTCATTTAGTTGGGAAAGTTAAATACTTTCACTTTATACATATAGTTCAGCCAGTACCACACAAATTAACAAAAAGGAGTATTTTGATAAGAAAATATATAAATATTCATCATTTATAAAAAATAATCTTAGAGATATATTTCACTTCCGGTAAACTTGCGCTTGCGCCGACGTGAAAATAGCTTTGCCGAGTTAGTCCTTTGCGTATCTGTTGAGTTATTGATGTCCAATTTCTGAAAGATGTGATGCATATTCTGATTGTAGGAGTGTAAGAATAATTTTCAAATTATCCTCTGTCGAAACTCTAGCAGTTGTTGCAGTGGTTGTGTCTGTAATTTTAAAACCGAAATCGTGACAGCTCCACATCATGGCTGTCTATTCCTTGGATATCATGTAAACAACCCCATACCTTGATAGGCTTTTATGGTTTTTGCAATAACTTGACATTCCTCATTACTTGTATCGTATTTCCTGGTAAAGGGTAGTGAGTGGTATCTTTGTGAAAACTTAATTTTGATCAGAATGACTTAAATAATTGTATTTCTGTTAAAACAAAGTAGTAGACCCCCCCCCC